AGCCCTTAGCCCATGAGGCTGTGCCCGGCTCTTTGGGAGCCCGCTCGCAAGGGCGCAGCCGCCTGGCAACCCCAAAACAATAAACCCTCCCCTCATAATAAGGCCCAAGCCATATTTTGTGGGTAAAAAGAAAATAAGACCCTGTCTTATTTTCAGGGAAACACGGTACATTATGAAGACAGTGGCACTTCCTGTATTCATCCTTACCCCATTAAGTAAACACATCTCTAAATGAGGACCTTCATGCTTGAATTCTGTTTCTTCAAAGAAAATCCTCTGACTGTACTAGCTGTCCGAACCTATTTTTAGTCACTTAGTGCTTCCATCCCCATGTTGCTGCATTGAAATCCCATTTTAAGGTCAAAAGTTAGTCTAAACTAGTGTTTCTCAACCTTGGTGACTTTTAGGTCCTGTGGACTTCAACTCCCAGAATCCCCCAGCCAGCTATGAGTTGAAGTCCACATGACTTAAAAGTCACCAAGGTTGAGAAACATTGGTCTAAACCCAAGAGAAAAAGATCGTGGTAATACATTTCTTGATATAGTCTCTGGTTAAGTTTAGAATAAACCCCTACTACTTAAATATATTTTAATTTTGAATTAAAACATCTGCGCAGTCTGTATTTTTAAAACTTCGTCAAAGCATGTATCTTCCCAAATAAATCCAATTAAATCTAATTGAATGCCATGGGCTGCCATAATAGACTGGGTTTCATAGCCTTGTTTTTCTCTGTGAGATATTTTATATTTTCTTTTGTTGTTTCCGAGGTCTTTCCTGTGAAGCTCTAAAACGCTCCGATAAGACAAAAAAGCAAAATTAGTCACGTTGGTTATAAGAATAATTCCATGTTTTGGCAGCGCATTCAGCGGTGTCAAAATCACCTGCAAGCTTTCAAGTCTTCCAGAACAGTCTTAAAATTAAATGTAGGTAATATTATAGAAATTAATTTATACTGCATAAAATACTACTGTGTTTCAGGTTGTAAATTATAAGCTGTAAATTCTGTGTCAAATGAAGAATCAAACAATGGTTGTTTAAAAAAAGAGAGAGAGATTACGAATACAGATTTATCTTTTTAAACATCAGAAGTTCGCTGTTCTTTTATTTCTTCATCCCAATCATAGGAAGAGTATTAGGAACAACTTTGAACCCATTACAACATTACAGTTTAAATGACCGCAGTTTCTTCATATATTTCATTTTAAGATAGTGATGAAATGCAGAGTCTATGGTTTCACTACACTTTTCAGTCTTCGTGTTTTAATTTTATTTCCGATCTTGCCTGGGAAGTTAGAATTTGTAACTTATTGGTTCTCAATTTAATGTTTCCCTGCCACTATCTGTAATTTTATTTTTACGTTATAGTTGGATAGACGCCCATTTGCCCATCAGTCCCATTTGATTCCTATTTAACCCATTTGCCTATAGAGATAAAAGGCCATTTGATTAAAAAGATTCTAAATTACTTTATGGAGCTATCCATTATTAGTTACAAATATCCCCTTCTCAAGAGCTTTTGATTTTGTTATTCACAGCTAATGTAGGCTCAACAAGTATTTTTTGTATTTTAGCAATAGCAATANGGTTCGAATTTTTTTTGAAACCCACCACTTCTATCTAGATACTTTAGGGGTGGGAGGGACAGAAATGCCTTTCTGTTTTCAGCTTATTTCACCTGAACCTATTTTCCATTTTGTATCTTAGAAAATCCAGCAAGGAGCTGGTAGTAACCAATATTACATCAGCAAACATTACCAATAGTTTTTCCATTCTTAAGCCAAGTTATTGCTGGTGGAGGAATTCCAGTAGCATCACAGGTAAGAGTTATAGGGTTGCTGATGGTTTCATTGATCCACTCTTGCTGGGGGCCTTCAATGGTGGGTGGTACTGTGAATGAAGACATACATCAAATTGATACATGCACCAAATTACCAATAATGGATTCTGGGAAAAAATAAATGGTCTTTACGGAGTCCGTACTTCATCCCTTCCTCCTATCTGCCACCGCAGCTTCCTGTTGTGCAACAGGAAGTATTAAGGAACCGAGATTTGAATATAAGTAACAGTCCATCTTGTCTTATGTTCAATTTGATTCACTATACTCTAACAAGAATCACTTCATTCTGTCTATTAAAAGCTTACCGTGAACATTAAGATGGAAAGTTTTGTCATCACGCCCTGCGATATTTATGGCTTTGCATACATACTGGCCTGTATCAGATACCTGTGAACGTAAGCAAAAAGTGATATGCAATTATCTTCTTACTAATTTAAAAAAGGTATCAACGCTAGGAGAGTGCCATTATAATATAAAATTCAAGATAGGATACAATAACATTTAAAAGTCGGTAAAAATTGGAGTAGGTTTCTTTGTAGTTCGATTGTTGAAATACTGTAAATGAATACAGGCAACGAATACCAGCTGTCTTGTTTGACGTTACAATGGTTATAAAAAAACAGCTTTGTGACAAAATCTCACATTCATGGCCATTGCAGAGTCCTATAATCACATGATCTCCATTTTTCACAACTGACATATTTATAACTATTGCAGTATCCTGAGATCACGTGATTGCAATTTGTGAGCTTTACCACCTGTTTCCAGCAAGCAGAATTAATGAAGAATATGAATGTGAAATCACAAGTTGCGGTCATATGATGTCTTGCTTAAGAACTGTGTGTCAGGCCTGGAATTATATTCCTTTTTGCATTTTGGCCTGCCACACTTTCTCTTATTTCATTATGCTG